GTGAAAAATGTTGGCTAAACTTAAATTTATGAACATTTGAAGAATGTTTCCTTCTTCACTAACATTGGGGAGTTTCTGATTTTGAAGGTTATGGTTTGGAGCTTTTAGAAGTCTGATGGTTTAGAATTTCTCAAAAAGGAGTTGGAGGAGACGGTGAGAGAAGATGTAGATGAGGAGGGTTTTCCATTAAGAAATAGTTTTTTAAGATGAGGAGGGTTTTCCATTAGGAAATAGCTTGGTGTAAGTAATTAATTTGATGAGGAATGGTTTCTATCGAGGTTACTGGTTCAGGTTTGGGGTTGCAGTAGTTTAGAACGTATTAATTACTTGTTTAAAAGATTTAATTAATTTAAAAGTGTATTATTCAAATTAGTTATTTTAATAGAGTATCTGACCTAATTTTCCCTTAAAAAAATTTCAAGGCCCAATTTGCCGTTGTGCTTTACTTTCAGAGAAGCCCAATTAACTTCTATTTTGACTTGCGGATGAGTTGGGCTGTCTAAAAGATGCTATCTGAATAGTTTGTTTTTAATATTTCTATTTCATTAATGGCATAAAATATAACAAATATTCTTATAAATAAATTATAGTATAATATACATTAAAAGATAAAATTACTTAATTAAAGATAATTGTTTTTATAATAGTCCACTCTTTAAAATAAAAATAAAAATTTGTTGTTCATTAAAAAATTAAAATAATAGAAATAATATAATGAGCTGCAACCCTCACAAGGTGAACATCATTGACTGAATACGTGGAAGTACTTCAATGTTAGAGATTAGGAATTGAAGCCAAGAAAGTATTGTTTTTATTTTTGTATTTTGACTTGAATTTATTTAATAATTGGACTTCAATTTTTAAATTATTGAAAACTATAATGATCTGAATCATGTGGTATGACTTGTGAGAATTCAACTATAATGTTTAGAAGGTATATACTTTTATTAATTGAAGTTTTTGAGTAGATATTAGGTTATTTAATTATATGCACTTATTTGTTTCGTTGCAACTTCTCCATTTTGTTCCTGTTCGCTCGAGGATGTTGAGTCATTTCTTTATGTTCGGTCATTCAGTTTTGATATGAGATACATCTAAGTTATCCATCTTCAATTTAGTGTAGTCAGATCGTCCAAATTTGATTTTGCTTATAGAGCTTTAGTTACTCATTTTCAATTTGGCGCAATCAGCTCACTCAACGTATATTTGCTTGTAAATTTGGCCACTTATCCACTACTACTGTTTAATTAAAGCAATATGTTGAGTTCCACATAAAAAATAATGAACAGTTGACATGTGAAAACATGCTTTTAATTTATATGATTTTTCCAAAACAATAACATAAGATTCGAAAAGAAGACTAATAACAGGATCTCTAAGCAAATTGAAATTGAGTGATATGATTGTATCAAATTGTATATAAATTACCTAGAGACTGATCCATGTAAAATTGGATGACCCATAAAGCATTTAACCCCTTCACGTTTCTATCTTGTCGGTTTAGTTAAACGTTTACTCTTGCTCTATGGTTTGTTTTAGCCCCGTTTAAGCCCCATTTTTTGAAAAAAAAAAAATACATTATTAAACAGTATTTTGACATTATTTCAACAAAACATTTTTCAATAAAATTCATTCTTATGAAAAGAATGTAGCTCCTGCAAGGCCTTATTTTTACTACTGCATAATTCTATGTACAAGTCTATCAAAAAACGTTCATATTTTTAAAGAATTGTGGGACGATACTTGACATTGTGAGACATAATTTACACCCATAGTGAAAAAGATGTTTGAATAAAGATAAAATGTTGTTCGAGGAATCTACTTAATTTACTCTAAGATGAGATCATATCTACTTTTTCATCAAATAAAAGACATATTAACAATTTTCATAAATAGGTGGCAACCGTATATAAACTCAATCTCAATTTAGCTATTATCAAATTCATCCATTCAAAAACTTGTAACATTTTGTAATTGTGTCGCAATAACTTGATATAAAAATATAGTTTAAGAATGAAATTAATGAAAAAATCTAAAATAATATTAGGTGAGAAATCACTAACAGGGTATCCAACCAATAATCGATAAATATAGAGGTGCACTAGCATGGACTTGCTTATTAGTTTAGAATATGACGATGGAAGGTACACAATTAAGACAGCATGACAACCATGGCCGGTAGTTATGACTAATAACTTGATATAAAAATATAGTTTAAGAATGAAATTAATGAAAAAATCTAAAATAATATTAGGTGAGAAATCACTAACAGGGGTATCCAACCAATAATCGATAAATATAGACGTGCACTAGCATGGACTTGCTTATTAGTTTAGAATATGACGATGGAAGGTACACAATTAAGACAGCATGACAACCATGGCCGGTAGTTATGACCCGTGACTCGGATGGTATGACTCACCCCACCAACACAAAGAAATAGTAAATCACCAAATATTTTATTCAATGCATACACCAAACTACATTTCCACGTGTATTTTATGTCTTATCATAGAAAGAAGAATTGCTAGTGACTGAAGTTGTTGCAGAAAATGACTGGATGAAAAATTCGATTTTATTTTAAATGATCGAATGATAGAATGTCATGTGATATATTATGTCAATTTTTATTATTTTTATCAATTTCTACCTCTCTCATATTCAATAAAATTATCGAAATTTGAGTAGGTTTGACTAATTTATTGCATGCTAAGTGGGATTAAAATCAAAATTTTTGTAAATTTTGATAAAAATTGATGATATGTATGATTGAAAATTTGAGAATCCTATAAAACTTAAATTAAAATCTAAATTTTAATTTCTACCACTCAATAAAATTATTCAAATTTGAGTACTTAAAAAAAAAAAAAAAAAAGGTGAGTGAGAGATGGGACCCTCCACAAGGACATAGAGTGGCTGTGGTTAGTTGGCCGATGTGGACGACAGAACACGCAAGTAATTAATAATGGGTATTTAGCGTATTTTAGCAAAAATTAAAAGGAAAATCCCAACTCACCATCTTTTGTCCTCTTCTCTCTCTAACCGCCGACGCCTATTTTAGCTCTCATTAATAAATTCTATTTATTATTATGAGTCAGCATCCACTGCATCATGCATCTCGCCTCGATGGCCAACACAATAAATAGCCAATCAAAACATAAATATTATTATTATTTTTTATTTTTTTTTAAATTCCTCTGCTCTGTTTAACAAACGTTTTACGTTTTCTGATCCTTATCTATGCTTTTGTTTTTGCACGTACGATAGGACGGTGTGATAAAAATTATTTCCCTTTTTTTTTAATAACGTAATTAATAATAATTCATCTCATTTAACTTAAAAAATATGCTTTATGATGCATAGGCTCTCATTATTTTCTTCAAAATACGTTATTCAACAGTGATTTGATCTCATTTCAACCACACATTATTTATTAAAATAATTACATACAAATTCAAAAGTTTTCTTTATTTTTTAATCGCACATTTTTTCCATCAATATACTATTCAAAAATGTATTTTTTTTTATTTTTACAAGAACAGGACTCAAACAAGGGCTAAGTGTGTGTTTGAGCCACATTATTTTGAAAGAATGTATTTTGAAATAGTAAATTGATGAAAAATGTGTAGTTAAAAAATGAGAAACTTTTTTGAATTTGAGTGTAATACTATTTTATTGAAAATTGTGCTGTTGAAACAATGTCAAATTACTATTTAATATATTTTTTTTAAATGCTGCTCAAACATAACCTAATTGTATTTTTTGGCGCCTTAATGCACAATTGTCAAAGCTCACCATACATGCAATCAAAATAGGTTAATATTTTCATAACCACATTAAAATATTTTCATTGTGTAATTCTTGAATACATGTTTAATACATAAACATCAGGCATGACGAGACCATACAACATAGTAGTTTAATTTTATTTCCTTTAATATTGTTCAAATATTTCCCACATTGATCTTTATGATTTTAACTTAATTTTAATATTGAATTGATACGTAATAAACAAAAATTACTTAACATTTAATTGCTTAATATTGGAAACTTTATCAAGTACCTAAGAGCATGTTTGGTAGAGATTTTAATCCAATTAAAATCAATTTTTTTGACTGTTATTTCACTATTTTAACCGTCATTTTTGAATTCTTTTCTCGTAAGTATGACTCACTTTATCTCTAAGGGTCAAAAAATCAATTATCAAAATTCTTATTAAATAAGCAATAAATTTTTGAAAGTTTTTTTGTGTAATCGAGCAAATTAACATATTCTATTATGAATCCAGCATAACCATTGAGCATTCTTGAAATAAATAAAGTAGTGAATGGAAAGAGAAAACTTAAGGGGGTGTTCTCTTTGTGTTTCAATTTTGTGTTTTGAGTGTTTGTTTAGAAATTGTTGAAAATGCGTTCTTTTTGTTTGTTTCTCAAAACAAAAAAAATTAAATTTTTTTTTTTTAAATTTTGAGAATCACCACAAGATCACCTCAAAAAAAAAAAAAAAAAAATATATATATATAGTAATTTTTATTTTTATTTTTTTGAAATTTTGAGAATCACCATACCACCTCCGAAAAAAAAAAAGGGGTTTTCCGCGTTTTCAGTTTTTTCAAGTTTTACACTGAAAACGCCCAAAACGACAAAAAAGTCGTTTTGTGTTTTCTTCACAAATTTTTTTTCGTTTTCGAAAATTCGTTTTCGAAAACAGGAAAGAGAACACGTTTTCACCGTTTTGAAAAATCGAAAACAGAAAACGGCCCGAAAACGGTAAAGAGAACAGGGCCTTAAATTCTTAAAGCAAAATTTTGAATTTTTCCCATCCATCCATTTTGGAGTAATAAAGAAAATAAAAGGGAGAATAATTGAAGAGTAAAATATTTGCAGGTGGTTCTATTTTAAGGCTCCTACACCTGCCCGCACCTGATAAAACTCATAACTGCACATTTGTTCTCCAATAAATAAGAAAACTGAAAAAGAAAAAAGAAAAATATTCATCAAAAACACACACACCCTTAAAAACTTGCAGAGATTAAAGATTCGTTCATCTGTCTCTCTCGACCTTTTTCCATCGTTTCCTTCTACCTTAATCTCTCTTCCTTCTTTGCTTTCCCTCAGCAAAGAAGAGAAGGGAGAACTTTAATTTTGGGTGCATATCTTCACACACGCAATAGAGAGAGACAATAATTTATGTATTTGTTGGTTTTGAAGCGGTTGTTGGTGGTGGGTTATTCAGGATAAAGAAGGCAAGAAAAGGAACAACGGAAAAATGTTGGTTGCACACAGTTTTGATTTATGGCAAAAGGATACCTTCTTTTCTGCAGCTGAGGAGATCCAACAATCTGCCGATATGTAAGTGTGTGATAAATTATAATTATTTATCCGTTTCTATTTTTTGTCTTTTGTATTCCTTGTATTCTGATCTGGGTTTGATTGATTTTTTGTTTGTGCCTTGTGTTGGATAAATATTAAATCGTTTTTGGTTGTATATGGAATTTGCGGTTAATTTCCTTTTCTTTATATTTTTGTCGATTTCGTTTTGGCTTTTAAAATTAAGTGGGTTTAAGCAGGTTCAATAATTTGATGAACCCTTTTTTTTTTTTTGTGAATTTCTTCATGTTCCTCTTCATTTTCTTTTGCTTCTATGTAGGTATGGTTAATTGTGTGTTTTCTATTGTATCTGTTGGATTTTTGTGCAAATTGTATTTGCTTAGTAATTGAGTAGCTTTTCTTTCATTTTCGAGTATTTTTTTGGTTCTAACTTGGACATGCTAGGAGACAGGAAGAAATGATAGACAGTAAAATCTTCATAGAAATTTTCATGGTTCTTGGCAATACCTAATGTTGATTCACAAATGAAATTAAGTCCTAAATATCCACTTTCAGTGATATTTTCTCTTGACATTTTTGCTTTGGCAGAATGGAATCTGCTTATAGAACTTGGTGCAGAGCAAGGAAAGAAGGGGAGGCAGCTCAAAATTTGGATGAACTTAGTAGAGAACTTCAAATGGCTTTAGGCACTGCAAAATGGCAGGTTGATTACCTCTTTCTGTAACTGAGTTTTGTACTTCATTTTATCATTTCTGGTATCAGCAATTCATTGGATATAGAAATAATGAACACTAAGTGAGTTGATTCTTGGTTTTGGCTTCAATTGCTCTATATGTTTTTCTCTATTGTGGGAGGATTGGTTCTAGTTTCTGCCGTTTTTCAACATAGACCATCTAATTCCATTATAAGTATATTTTCACAGTTGGTTATTTAATCAGGTAGTTCTTGAAGTTTGTTCTGAATCATTTTTCTTTTCTTTCCGCACAATAGTTGGAAGAATTTGAAAGGGCTGTTAGACTGAGCTACAGAAATCATGCTGATGATGTTACAAAGACCAGACACAGGCAATTTATTTCCGTTATAGAAGACCAAATTTCCCGTGTCGAAGCAGCATTAAAAGAGTCATATACTGTGGATAGAAACCAACCTTTTAGCTGGGTAAACTTGGATGAAGAAGAACGGGATGACTTAGCTTTGTTTCTTTCAGGAACTCCCGATACCTCAAGTACGAAGCTTGTAGAACCAGCAACTAGTCCTTTTAAAGAGAAAAACCATACAAGAAAAGACATTAGACTTGACTCTAAAGTTGGTTCCAAGGCACAAATTCCAATTACGAGAAAAGGTTTTGAAGAAATTGTCACAAGTAATGTAGAAGCCATTTGCTCCACAGTGCCAGAAGAGGAAGAAATTCCTGAGGCAAGGGGTGAATCTAGTTCTTGGAGAGCACGGAATTTGCCAGGTGTGAGTGCTTTGGAGATTGTAATTGATAATGATTACGAACAGAGGAATGCATTGGTTGAAGCAACACCCAAAGAGAAGGGGTCCAAACTTTATTTTTGGAGATCAGGGTGTGAAGATCATCCTCAAGCAAAGGGAGGAGCGTTAATTTACAGCCATCTGAAGATGATCAACTGCATAAATCAGGTTAATACCATTATAACTCATAAGATTGTTCTTTTTTCCCCTACTAAAATTACCTAACTATGGGTGTTTGTATGAAAAATTTAGAGATTTATGCTGTGGCATATGCATCTCTTACCAATTACTATTATTTATTTATTTCCTCTTTTAGACTTGCAGTAAATCTGAACAAGTTCATTCTCTTTTCTCATGTTTTTGGTCTCTGTATGATTCAAACTCTGAATGTTTCTATGTAAAGGGCTCTTTACTTTTTAAGTTCGATTTGTAAGGTGGATTGTGATGGGATAAAAATAGAAAATAATGATTGGACAAAGAAACAATGGATCTGTGGAAGCTAGAAGTACTTTTATAATAATGAAAAGAAAGAATTACAGCAACTGAAATGATAATGGACAGCCTTTCGAGAGGGCCGAATCTCTCCTAAATGGCACTTACATTAATCAGGTCATACCTCTCCTCCTTTCTCCCCTACTATTTATAAGTGTGCCAAACAGATTCCTAACAGAATTAGTTACTATCCCCACTCCCTCCCTTTCTCTTGATTCTTCTAGAATAAGTGTGCGTGATTGGGGGCCTATCAATCACCCTCCCCAATTCAGCCACCTTGTCCTCAAAGGTGGAAGGTGGGAAATTGTTGATTGATTAGGCTGTAAGCTTCCCAGGTGGCTTCCATTGGAGACAGTCCTTTCCATTTTATCAGTACTTCCATATCCTCAGCATCACTGGTTGGAATAGTTCGGGCACCCAATACTGTTTCTGGCTCTACCGTTAGTTCCCAGTCCGCACCAAGGTTAAGTGGTAGTTGAGTGGTCAGATGATGCTCCCCAACAGCTTTTCGTAACTATGAAACATGAAAGATTGGATGAATTGTGGTCCCCAGTGGCAGTTCTAGTTTATAGGCAACTGTCCCAACTTTAGCCACAATTTTAAAAGGTCCATAGTAGCGAGGCGCTAGCTTCTCATTGATTCGGTGTGCCAGGGTTTTGCGTCGATACGGCCTTATCTTTAAATAGACTAAATCACCTGTAGAGAATTCTACCAACCGTCGGTGCTTGTCAGCCATGTTTTTCATTTGCTGTTGAGCTCTCTGCAAATGGATCTTGAGTTCCTCCAGGACTGTCACGTTCTACTAATTGCTGATCCAAGGAAGAAACAATGGTGGTGCCCTTCTCAAACGGCAACAGAGTTGGGGGTTCTCTCCCATATAGTATGCGAAAGGGTGTCAATTGTGTGGATACATGGAATGACGTATTATATGAGAGTTCTGCCCAAGCCAGAAAACGATGCCATTCTTTAGGTCTAAATGTAGCAAAACAGCGCAGATATGTTTTGACACTCCGATTCACCACTTCCATCTGGCCATTGGTTTGGGGGTGGTAGGCCGAAATGTGCTTTAATTTTGTCCCCTGCAAACGAAACATTTCGCTCTAGAATTTGCTTAGAAATACTTTGTCTCTGTCAGATATTATGGAGCGTGGCATCCCGTGCAAACGAACTATTTCCTTGATAAAGATTGAAGCGACTGAGGGTGCAACGAATGGATGTTTAAGTCCAATGAAATGAGCATACTTACTTAGTCGATCCACCACCACCAGAATGGAATCAAACCCCTCCGACTTAGGCATACCTTCTATGAAGTCCATAGATATGTCTTCCCAAACCCGTTCTGGAATAGGTAGAGGTTGTAATAGGCCGGTTGGAGTCAACGTTGAGTATTTGCACTGTTGGCAAACTTCACGAGCAGCCACATACTCCCGAATGTCCTTCTTCATGCCAACCCAGTAAAATGTGCGAACCACTCTCTTGTAGGTTTTAAGAAATCCACCATGCCCTCCAACTTTGCTATCATGTCCTTCGTGTAGAGCCAGTCGGACCAAAGGAGAGTCCTTCGGTATGGTGATCCTATCCTTGTATAATAGGACTTCTTGCACAATTGTATAGCCTGGGTAAGACAACGGATTATCCTTAATGGCATTCCTCATCATTCTCACGTGCTGATTATCCATCTGTGCTCTAATTACTTCATCTATTTGCAAGACACTTGGAATGCTGAGAGCCATAAATGTTACTATTCCCCTTTTTTCTGGACAATACATCTGCTGCCTTGTTCTCTAGCCCAGGTTTATATTCGATGTCAAAATCAAATCCCAGCAATTTTGTCAACCATTTCTGATACTCCTCATTGATCACTCGCTGTTCGAGGAGAAATTTGAAGCTCTTTTGATCTGTTCTCACCACAAATTGCCTTCCCAGAAGGTAATGCCTCCATTTTTGTACTGCCAAAGCTATTGTCATGAGCTCCCTTTCATAAACAGATTTTCCTTAAGTCCTGGGTGGAAGGACCTGGCTGAAATAGGCTACAGGTCTCTAATTCTACATTAAAACGGCACCTAAACCAATACCAGAAGCATCAGTTTCAATAATAAAAGGCTGTGAAAAATCTGGAAGGGCTAATATCGGAGTTGTTGTCATGGCCTCTTTAAGTTTATTGAATGCAACTTCAGCCGTGTCATTCCATCCGAAGCTATCCTTTTTCAATAGTTGAGTAAAGGGCCACGCCATTTTCCCATACCCCTCTACAAATCGCTTGTAATAACCTCTTAACCCTAAAATCCCCTCAGCTCCTTCAGATTTTTTGGTCTGGTCCAGTCACACATGGCCGCAATTTTTGACTAGTCACTAGCAACTCCCAATTCTAAGATAATATGCCCGAGGTACTCAATTTTCCTCTGCCCAAAAGAACATTTCTTCTTGTTGGCAAAAAGCCTGTGGTTTACCAGGATCTGCAATACACTTTGCAAGTGGTCTTTGTGCTCCCCTTCCGTTTGACTGTATACCAATATATCGTCAAAGAACACCAAAACACATTTCCTGAGCATATCTCTGAAAATATCGTTCATTAAGGACTGAAAGGTGGTTGGTGCGTTAGTCAAGCCGAAGGGCATGACCAGAAATTCATAATGCCCTTTATGAGTTCGGAACGCAGTCTTTGGCACGTCTTCCGCCTTAACCCGAATCTGGTGGTAACCTAATTGGAGGTCGATTTTTGAGAATATCTTAGCTCCATGTAACTCATCCAGTAATTCATCGATGACAGGGATTGGGAATTTGTCAGGCACAGTTACTTTGTTTAGAGCTCGGTAATCTACACAAAAAGGCCAACTATCGTCCTTCTTCTTTACTACGAGTATCGGGCTTGAGAAAGGGCTGGTGCTGTGCTGAATGATACTGGCTACTAACATCTCTCGCACTAGTCGCTCAATTTCATTTTTCTGAAAATGGGGATATCGATAAGGTCAGACACTTACTGGCTCAGCCCCAGACTTTAACACTACTGCATGGTCTTGTCTTCGTTTGGGAGGCAACTGTGTGATTTCCTCAAAGACTACTTATATTCTTCCAGTACTTCTTTAACAATTGCCGGTGGCCGTTGCAAAGGTGGATTGTAGGATAACATGATGTTCCCTCATTCCAGTAACAACCCCTCGCCTTGTTCCTTGAAAGCCTTCCACATGGATTTCAATGATATTGGAATTTTGCTAAGGCTCGGGTCCCCTTGTAAATTAATAGTCACCCCTTCCTTAGCAAAGGACATTGTGAGATTATTCCAGTCCACTTGCATCCTCCCTAATTTCCGTAGCCACTGCATTTCGAGTATGACATCGGAACTCCCCAAATCCAAGGGCAGGAAGTACTCCACCACTTCCATGCCCGGCAGCTTCAACCTTACATGCCTGTACACGCCTTCTCCTTTTACGGTCAAACCGGTGCCCATTATTACACCATATCCGGTCATGCCCGACAATGGAAGTCCTTCCTCCCGCACTAGTCCAACTGAGATGAAATTATGAGAAGCTCCACTATCCACTAGTACCACCACCTTTTTCTGACCAATCCATCCCTGTAGCTTCATCGTTCCAGGTGTTGTGAGCCCAAACACCGAATTAATGGAGAGTTCGACCGGTTGACCCATCGAACCTCCCTCCGATTCGGCTGCTACCAAGTCATCCACCGCGACTCCGCCTCCTGTCAACTCTTCCGGCACCGTCTGCTTCGAGTCTTCCAACTCCTGAATCACCAGTACTTGCAGCTCCTTACTCTTACATTTATGGCCAATAGTAAAATTTTCGTCACAACGGTAGCATAGGCCTCTTTCTTTCTTCCTTTGAAGCTCTGCGTTGGTGAGTCTCCTGAAGGGTGTGGAAGATTTGGAATACGGGTTGGGGCGATTTGTGGTCAGATGTAAGGGTATTGTGGTTCGGGCTTGGGTGATCTTGGTTTGTGGGGGATTTGAGCTATTATATGGGATACTTTTGGATTTAATTGGGCCTAAATCGGTATGGGTAGTTTGGCTAATAATATTTCGATCCTCCACCATTTGGGCTACCTCCATCATTTGCTCCAAGCCCACCGGTCTGAGTAAATATACTTCTGCCCTGATTTCTGGCACCAACCCATTAAGGAAAATTGATTCTAGCATCTCTTCAGATATGCCTTTCAACGGCTTGGCCAATTTTTCAAACCTCCGGCGATAATTTCTGACCACGCCCTCTTGCCGGATAGAGAGAAATTGAGCGCACAAGGATCCTCCCTACGTGGACCGAAATCGGCGAAGGAGTTGTGCTTTCAGATCCTCCCAATTTGTTGGTGGCCTTCGTTTCTCTTCCCACTTATACCATGCCAGGGCCTCACCGTTGAAACATACAGCAGCTACCTCCACTTTATCCTCTTCACTTATTCGGTTGAGGCTAAGATACCTCTCCACACGAAATATCCACCCATCTGGATCATCCCCCTCAAAAACGGGCATCTCCAACCGCCGGACTCGTGGTTCGGACCTCCAATCATTGCCTGACTCCACACTGTTCTGACTTCCCTCTAATCTGGACTGTGTTACCCCAGATTCCTGTTGTGTCACCGGTGAGTTTTCCATGGCTGGGCCCTTATCCTTTCGTTCCCTCTCCTGATTTTCCCAAGTACGCAGCAGAAGATCGAACTTGGAATGCATCGACTTAAAATCCGATCGTAGGATTTCGAGACCGGTCATCTCCTGGTGATTGCTTTCAACCTTTTGTTCCAATTCCCCCATTCTATCCGCAAGAGTCATGGTTCTATTTGGGCTGATTTAGGGTGCTCTGATACCAATATTGATAGGATAAAAATAGAAAATAATGATGGGACAAAGAAACAATGGATCTGTGGAAGCTAGAAGTACTTTTACAATAATGAAAAGAACGAATTACAGCAACTGGAATGATAATGGACAGCCTTTCGAGAGGGCCGAATCTCTCTTAAATGGCACTTACATTAATCAGGTCATACCTCTCCTCCTTTCTCCCCTACTATCTATAAGTGTGCCAAACAGATTCCTAACATAATTAGTTACTACCCCACTCCCTCCCTTTCTCTTGATTCTTCTAGAATAAGTGTGCGTGATTGGGGGCCTATCAGATTGTCCTTCTAGAGCTGTTCATGGTCTTGTGCCTCCTTTGGCATAATTTCAATAAATTCTCTATATATAAATAGATTTTTTGAGTTGGTTTTGCTTATATAACACCTGGTGCATTTCCACATGGTTTTCAGCTGTTCAAACGAACTCCGAGAAGTCAGAGGCAACAACAAATTTCGCCAACATTGCCTGTTAATTCCATTCGATTCATACTTGCTTTGATGCTAACCATTTTCTTAGTTGGTAAGCTCTTTGCTCAAATTAATATTTACTGAAAACGTTTGTTGGCCGTTAGGAAGAGCAAATTTATTATAATTACTTACACATCAGGCTTAAGAAAAAATGGTTTTTCTTGATACTGAAGAACAGATTTTGATTAGACGAGTGAATAACTTGGGACTGCAATAATGTGTAAATTACATGTGCTTGTGACAAATAGTTTAATTCATAAAAAATATGTGAATTTGTCCTCCTATTACTAGAATAATAAAGTGAGTTTTTTTATAGTTGAAATAAACTCAATCAGTTTTCTATTTTTTTATTAATTATATATATTTTTTTTGCTTCGTTATTGTAAATGGATTATTCATAATTATATTTGTTGATTCAAAAAATAATATTTTCTTCATTCAGGGAACATAAATGATAGATAAAAATATATTTTTTATATATTCTTTCAAATAAATTTTTTAGTAAAAGGGGTGATTTACAGAGTAATCAAGCATTTCTTCTTTCTAATATCTGCCATTTTTCTAAGTTTTTACCTATAACTTGTTTTTTTAAGACTAATATTTATTCCTCGAGTTAACTTTTGTTTTTTTTTCTTTCTTTTGTACTTCTTTCTACTTTGTTTCTAATTATATTTTTTTATATCAGCCACATCCTTTTATTTATTTTTTTTTTTTTGAAGAATTTGTCCAACTTGGAAATGCAATTTGACTAAATGATTTGTGAATCATCTGATTGCTGATTATGGGATCTGTTTCTTTCCCCTTTTTTTTCCCCCCAATAAATTTTCACTCGATTCATGTACTACTACTACTCCTGATCCACTTAATACTTAAAATTAAACAGTATGAAATGCATTTTGAAAAGGACACTTTTTGGATGCCCACATGTGCGACCTTTATAGCAAATAAAGGTTGTTTTTTGGTTTTTGCAGTACCTTTCCTGTTCTATTCAGGTTAAGCTCGAGTTAAATTCTGCTGTTAGTGAACCAGAGAAAAGGTATGTATACCATTTTTGACCTTCTTGTTTAGTTATATTTTGGGGGCACTCTGAAGAGAAGATGATGAAATGAACATTTAGCTAGAACTTCTTCTGAGATTCTGTTCATTTCTGTACCAAAAAGTATTTGCACGATATATGCTGCAATCTTGTTTCCTCATATGAAGAAATTCTGCTTGTATACTATGAGAAGCAAAAAACAGTTCCTATCCTGTGACCAAAAAATCTGTCTACTTTTCTTGCTATCTTCTACTTCCAGTTTACGAATTCAGGAAGATGATGTCCAATTATTACATATTTCAGAATCACAAGCGTCGTTTACTTCCTACTTTTCATGGCTGGTTCATACTCCTAATTATATGATAACTGAAAATAAATTAGGACATTTGCAGGACGTGGTTTCGTGCTGTTGATGGAGAAATCTTCCGAGGCAGGGCGGGGTCAAGTTTTTGGATATTTCTTTATATGAAGTGACTTCATATTAAGCTCAAGTATAATACCTATTGCATTCGACAGCTTGCCATTTTGATTCTTCAAACTAAATGTATATGCATTTGGTTAGATGGAACGCAAGCTTCCAGAAACAAACATAGCGTAGAATATACCAATCAATGTAAGAACCTCAGACGTGTCATGTTTAATGTCTGGGGTTGTGGATTGTTATATCTTACACTGTCTTCTGGTATGTCGTGTATTTAATGAATGTTTTTCCTCGTAGATCTGTGCTCTAGGTTTGCTAATTTACTGCTCCCTTTGCGGTTATTCCTGGTGATTCTTACAACTCATCCTTCGAGACACGAGAACAAAACATTGTAGTATGCCCATGTATACAGGTTTTATTCTGATGCAACTATCTAATGGACATCGTGTTTATCACCAATGCAGAAATGAGAACTATTGCACCTACTAGGTCAGTTTTGGCTTTTTCTGAAACCGAACCGGTCCGACCTGGTTCGGTGAGAAGCTGTTAGGGTCTGTTGGGTTTTTTTTTTTTTTTTTTTTTTTTCCAGTATTAAAATTATCGTTGACTTCCAATCATCCATTAATTGCCTAAACTAGAAGCAGTACAAGTATGGATTTTGCCACTTCAATAAGGAATCAAAATTCAGATGGAAATAATCTCTCTCAAATCATTTTGTTGTATTGGGTTCGAATTTTAGGGGGAGGCCTTAGAATTTCGTGAGGGATAAGATAAGTTCAAACTCTTTCAAAGCGAAAAGTACATAAGAGGAAGTTCGGACAGAAGGCCTATAAAAAAATTATGGTGAAAGACAAGATTTTCTAATCAATGAAATGTTAAAAATAAAAATGTGTTGACGAAAAAAGTTAAGAGTATAAGTGTAATAGATGAAAACACATTTAATGTAATTCACGGGATAGCTGATTAGCTATGTTATCTCGTTCAATTTGTTACACACCTTCACACAATTCATATAGAATCTCTCCATGCCCGGAGACTGTTTAAGCCTATTTTGAGTGTATACCAAAACCTCAACCATCCTAGGGGTTAAAGAACTACAAAAGAAATCAAGAATTCTTCCTCAAGTACTGAAAACACTCTCTGAAGCTACTACAAGCACTCGAACTACTATAACATCTCTTACAAATTTGGACAAAATACTACAGCCCTATTTGGTGGGAATTAAAATTAGATTTTAGTAGATTTTGATAAAAGATTTTTAAATATGTTATTGAAAAGTTGTGGAACCTATGAAATATGTGGTTAAAATTGATTATTTAACTTTGACTTGATTAAAATCTGATTTAAATCGATACCAAATAGGGATATATTTAGTTTTATTAACCCTCCGCAAATTAAGAACATTAAAATCATTATTCCACATAACTTCGCAAGCATCATAAAAGTATCAATCCACATAATTATTTAGCTCAACTAAATCTTTTGCTGCTTATTTTCTCTAAAACCTAAAAATACGACTAAGACACACACAAAGTAGGACATTCTGTTGCTGAAGAAAATCCACATCACTAGATGATTGATTTCAGGATTTGCTTCACATCTCACATGCTAATCGTAAATAGTTATCAAATTGTCTTTCAAAATCTGTCATATTATAAACAACTTCCTTATCCTCGTAATATTATCAAAATAGTAATCAACTATTGTAATGTGACACAAATTCTTGTATGTATTGAGTCCTAGTTGAAGTAGTCATGGAGATATCAAAATTATGGAGCGATAAGAAAAGTGGCCGGATTTTCGCTAGACGCTCAAGTAGTAGGAAAAATATTTGGAGGAGAGAGCTGTTGCTCGCCTATCGTCGAGCTCTCACTCAAGTGACAGAGCTGTTGCTCGCCTGCCACCAGACAGTGCTCGAGCAACAACGCTGTCTAGGTTTTTCTCTTTATGTCGATTTCATGCGTATTTTGACCAAATTCCATTTTTTAGATTACCTTTAGGGTTTTGACATATCCCATATAAATAGTGGACTCTTCATTTAGTTGATCAAGATTGCTGAAATTATATTTTTCTCTTCACTAGTTGTCAATTAATGAAATTACTCTGTTCCTCTACAAATCTCTCTTCTTACTTTAATCTTAGTTTTACTTGTGCGATTAACCTCCCCATTTCGTAACATATTCCAATTAATATCTTGGATCAAACACAAAAACAATCAATTAAACTTTCCATTTTCACTAGGACTTGTCAAACTTTTTCTTTTATGTTAATAGCCGTTTAACTTACAATATAATCACCACTTGACCTCCATATAAACATATTTCATGAAAATAAACAGCTCACATGAAACGAAGTACTAAATTTCGAAGTTACTTCATAAAAACCTTTGAGGAACTTGACAAAAAAGTACTTTTTCAATCAAAAGTTTTAGGAAGTCCACCCCATCTTCTACAACCATCATACTCCTGGAAGTAATTTAAGAAATGTACACCATCATCCTCTAACCTTTCAAAAGTTATTTGAAATTTTAAACCAGCTTCCAACATCAAATATGTGTAATTCCTAGTTGGTATATCCAAAAAAACAAGTGATTCACAATCAATTTTTTTTTACTCGGACATTCTATTAACTTTTGTTCTCTAGTGAGAGAAGATTAAAAAATGATTCTTCCAAGTACTTGTTCCATACTTCTTAAGCTTACAAGCATAACCATGCACATAATTGTTGCACGAACACCTAACATCTTTCGCTTTCGAAATTCCTATAATTGTGAAGTGTTATCACGCATTCGAGGATTTCCTATTATTTTCTCTTCCTTAAACATGAGAATGAAATTGAAGGAAGATAAGTAACACTTGTTTCTAAATTTGCTATTGAAGAAGCTTCATCAATAGCTTCAATTTCATTATCATATCAATGTTTATATCTATAGAATCAAACAAGAAACCAAATAAACACAAGAGAGCGTATTTCTATAGAATATCTACTTGTTGGTTATGCTAACATTTTGTTCTTTTTAAAGGGTGGCATGCAACTTGTTACTAGAACAATAGTTTGTGAATGCACTTTCCTCAACAAAACAAAAGGAAGACAACGTATGTTTCCCTTGGCTCTAGTTTATTTATTGTTTAAAATATTTCGTAAGATTCACAAATCATATATATTTATGTACGAGCTAAAAAATCATAATAAATGAATATATAAACCAAAATAACGATGGGACCGAAAAAATTGCATATCGACAATCCAAACCGTAAACGGGGGCGGCGCCTCCTGCCTAATCTGAACTTGCGTGCTTTAATAATCACACATGTAGTCAGTAATTTGGAATAACGTACTGTAAGTATTATGCCCTAAATCCAATCAATCTTGGACATAAATCTTTTGATATATAATTAATGTAATTTAATGGCAGATTTATTATTTAATTAATAGACAATTAAATTAAATAATAGAGTCCGTAGATTCAAATCTTCATAATTCGTTAATCACAAGGAGTTATGATTGTGAGATACAGATTACATATGATTGAATCTTAAATCGTCCGTAGTCGTAAGTAATAACGAGATACGGATATCATTATTACGGATAGACCATCGCGTGTAACATTTCTTACTTGTGAAGTAAATAGTTCATCTCACAAGCTAAAGTGTGGTGACATTTAAATGAACACGTGGATATTTTGTTATAAAACAAAACATTGAAGACCCGCCTAGAGATTCCGTATGGATAACTATCTGAGTGACAGTAGTTAATCTCTAACGTTCAGTAGTGGTATTGGTCCTTTGACTTAAGGTCGTCATAATATCTTATATGAGGACAGTCATGCTTTGACGGTATTGGATGTTGCTCTGTCAAGGGCCGCTAATACAGTATCATTCGAATATGTCAAGAATCATATAAAGATTGTGAATGACCAATTGAGGAATCATCACTCTTAAATAGTAAGAGATTATGATCTGCGTTTCATTCAATTAAGTCGATAATGAAATCATTGACCAAGGTGTACTCATAAAACGAAAAGGAATTTTCGACTTATATTGACTTAATAGTAAAGTGAAAGATATGATCGATAATCGAGATTGACACACTTTCATATCTCGTAATTGATCGGATCATATTAACGAAGGGATTATAATTTCACTGTAAACGAACGAATTTGATTTTGTCATACCACGTAACATTTCCCGTCACATGTATTGTCCTGACACATTGCTAGATGTCAATCTGAGACGGCGAGTGTGATTAGTGATAAATTAAAAGGGTGTTTTAATTTATCAATTTTGATTAGATCAAAATAATATTTCACGTCGTTAGGTATCGTGATCCGGAACCTTATAGGTCGCACACAAAAGGGGAACTGAAAGATTGTGATTTGTCAATTAATTAATTTAACAAGTGTTGAATAAATTAATTAATTGGGTTGCTAATTTATAGGCTTGAATTGATTATTTGGATTAATTAATTCACGGACCGAATTTAATTAAATGGATTAATTAAATGTTGGACCGAGTCAGGCCAAGCCCGTTCGGGCTTATATAAATATGATTAAGGTCATCAAATTTGTAGGGATTTTTTCATTCTTCTTGCTAGCACAAGAAGAAAATCCTAATCTTACAATCTTGTTCTCTGTGTAGATCACAATTGGAGGCTAGACAATTGGACAGCTGTGAGTGGCGAATCAAAATTGCTAGAACGAAAAGAATAACAAAGAAGTTTGTAGATCTTGAAAAGCTACAATCTTTTCACAATTTCTATTTAAACACAAAGAGATTCCTGGTGGGAATCGAAATCTGTTTTAATTTTCGTTTGCGCATGTTAACTAGATTCCCAACAGTGATATTAAAGCTTACTTTGTATTTGTTAGAAATTGTCTTGAATATGTGAAAAATCAAAAGTTGATTTTGTTCAGTTTTTAGGTTCTAGCAATTTATGAAATTTGATCTTTATTATTTTAAATATGATTTAAATGGTATAAAATAATATTAATAAAAAAAAGGTGGGATACTGACGGCAACAAGTGTCGCCGGCGATGGCGCAGAACGCAGCAGTGTTTGCCGCCCACTGCGCCTGCTACTTCTTAGGTAGTAGTGTCCGACGCTGCTCAGCGGCTAGGAGCGGTTGCTTCCGTCGCAGGTGGATATCGCCGCCCCTAAAATCTGGAAAAGGGTGGAGAGAATTTTTTTGGGATTTCTAGGGTTTCATGATCGGGTTGGGTGTTCTGGAGACAGGGACCTGTTGTGCAAATTCATAATTTGCAGGTCCCTGCTTGAAATTTGATTTCAAGGGTCAAGTTTGTAATTTTAATATAAAGTGCCTTCTTGCAATTTGAGAAGTTGAGGAGCCTATTAATAAATTTTGATTGGGTCAAATTGCAATTTTTAAAATGGTTTTGATTTTGAATTTTAAAATTGTTTTAAAATTATATTTTGAATGGGTTTGACCTATAATTTTAATTTTGACTCAAAGTAAAATTTTATTTACAATTGATGACTTTTATATTTTTGTTAAAATTAGATTTTAACTTAAATGATAAATTTTAACCCCTAAATGAATTTTATTTTATTTAGGAGTTTTATCCTAAATTAAAATCTTAATTCAATTTAAATTAGAGTTGGACTCTAATTTAATACTTAATTAAAATTTGATTTTAATTAATTATTCGCCCGAATATGTTCTTGAAATTAGAATTGGATTTTAATTTGACATTTAATTAAAATTTGATTTTAATTAAATTGTTTCGCCCTAAAATTTTCTTTAAATTAGAGTTAGACTCTAATTTGGTGTTTAATTAAAATTTGATTTTAATTAAATTCAACCGCCTTAAATTATGAAATTAGAGTTAGACTCTAATTTGATATTTAATTGAAATGTGATTTTAATTAAATAGTCCCGCCCTATAATTATGGAATTAGAGTTTGATTCTAAATTGGTATTTAATTAAAATTGGATTTTAATTGAATATGGCCGCTTATTAAATAATTGATTAATATGATTAATTAATTATTTAATTGTTCCGATCAATTTTTCTAAAAGAGTTTAGACGACCTTAATTGCTAGATACTTGAAACATGTTTGCATATAATATTATATATTATATAGGCATACATTTATGTTATGAATGTTTTATTAATGGACGATTATGGATTCGACCATGTGGATGTATTGAATGATTAATTTTATTCTTATCATTTTATGAGCCTGCGAGCCTATTACTATTGTTATTATTATGGGCCTGCGAGCTCTTAATCATTTGCGACCTGCGAGTCCGTTATTATTATTGTTACTATGGGCATGCGAGTCCAATTTCATTTAGGCTTGCGTGCCAACTAGTATAGGATACAAGTTGTAGATGAGCTAATTGAAGAAACTAGAAGAGGAGGAGACCATAAAGATGGAGCATTGTATGATCAATGATATACCCCATGGGAATTGACCAACTAATTTTCCTTATGGTTTGGGAAGATTAGATAGTAAAAGTCCATAGTCGTCTACACTATAATATTATGTTACATATATTTATTTGCATGGTGGATGTATAATAAAATATATATGATTGTTACGATGAGACATTTGAATTCAAATCCCCTCAATAAAATATTAAGTCACATTTATAATCGTCTTCCATCATTGTAGTGAAAAATCAGAGTCCCAAATCGTCTCAACTTGTTGATTACACTCAAGGCTGGTCTATTAGAGATATGCTTGACACTATAAAATATTTGATATTTCTGAATGACGCATTTGACTTAACTAGAATTTATCTTTTATTGAGTACATTCAAGGAGATAAATTTTAGAGGCATGTTAAACTAACACATAAGATGTGTGAAGACAAAGAGTTGTCAGCGTGACGATCCTAGAGTTGTATGGAGATACAATTGATAATAGTATTTATCCAAATGTTATATTAAGGTTTGTTGAGTACGCTCAAGATCTTGATGTAACAGATGGGATCTCAGCCCACTGGGAGTTAAGTATGGATTCCATAAATTTATGTAAGAGAGTCATAAATTTGAAGTAAACAATGGGAGTATAATTAATTTAATAAAAGTTCATGTTAAATTAATTATTGCATTTTATATATTATTCTTTTTCGTTTTCGTCATTTATATTTATTGAATTTTGAGTAACCATATGTTTTGAATAAAATATTGGATGCCAACAACCAAACTGAATTTTCTTGATTGGCACTACAATCTAAGAATTGTTCTCAGGCATGAGAAAATTGGTTATGTCCTTAAGTAGCACTTTCTAGAGACACTTGCTGATGACTCAATTAAGGAAGAGGTGACTACTGTAATAAACACGGTGATAATGATAGCACAGCACATATGTGATGCTTGTAATTATGTCACCTGAGTTACAAAAGTGACTTGAGAGTATAGATGCTAATGCATGATTTTTCATTTCAAAGAGTTGTATGATAATAATCATGTGTGGAAGGATATGAGACTTCCAAACAACTATACCAGTGCAAAATGATAGAGTAATCTTCAATCGATGTTTAGACACTGAAAATGATTAACGTTGAGAAATGTCTCAATAGAGTTCAATCATTAACTATGAACTAAGTATTGACTTAGCTCTGCAATCTTTGTCATAGAGTTATTCATACTAATTATAAATTATGATATGAATAAATTCGAATGCATACTCATTAAGTTGCTTAACATGTTTAGGACTGTTATGCTCAATAACAAAGTTAGAAGTTGGCAAGCCATTGATTTCTCTAAGGGTATTAAGAGGAAATCTAAATGGACTTTGGGAAAGCACCCAGTATGGTTAAGACGGTCTAAGCGAAGGACAATATCAAATCTAATGACCCTTGGTTTCATTATAGAATGAAAGGTCATTAGAAGGAATATTGCGTGGCTTACGTCTACTTCACGAGTTTCTTAGGTATTTGATACGAAATGTAATCTCGTATTTATACAAATATGGAGAAACTAAATAGAACTAGACCACTACAAGTGGGAGAAGTTAATGTACACGTTGAAGATGAGCAACGGTTGCTGCATTGCCTGTAGGAGCATATTTCTTGACATTGCCTTTTGTTTTAGTATTGGAATTAGAGAAATGTTGCTTTGTACCCACTATAACTGGAACATTAAATGAATTTCATGGTGGGACATGAACTATTTTAATGTTAAGGACAATTGTTGTTCTTATTTCTCTTGATAAAGATCCTAATAGTTATGGTAAATTACAAAACGACGTTTATATTCTTTAATACTAAGCATTCTATAATGAGTATAGAAGTTAAGAGGTATAAAAGTGATAATCTAATTTTACCTAAATATGGCATGGCAGACTTTGTCATAGAGATGAAATGTAATTTCAAAGTTACATATAAGATGTATACTTGAGATTAATTGATTTTGACAAGTGCAAATTATGCATGTCTGGTACAATGACCAAATCTTCTTTTACTTGAAAAGAAAAAATGTCAGCATAATTACTGGTCTAATACATAGTGATGTATATGGACTCATGTCAATTGATGTCAGGTAATGTTTATCTTATTTCATCAATGATTATGTATACTTGATAAAACTCAAACATGAAACTTTTGAAAAGTTCAAGGGATTAAAACTAGAAGTAAAGAAACAAATAGGTAAAGATACCCTCACATTAAGATTCAATCGAGTGAAAATATCTTAAAGATAAAATTTAAATTATCTAAGAGAGAATGAGATTCTCTTGCAATGGACTCCTCCATATACGCTGCAGCATAGTGGTGTATCTAAAAGGAGGAATCGTTAACTATTAGATATAATGCAATTAATAACAAGTCATGCAAATCTTCCAAAATTGTTTTGGGATCATGCATTAATTGCAGTGTGGAACGCACTAAATCATGTCTCATCTAAGTTGGTTAACAGAACTTCATACAAGTTATGGAAATGCAATAGTCCCAATTTATCTTATATGAAAATTTGGGGCCATGACGCTTATCTGAAGCACGTTGAATCGGATAAGTTTGATACTAAATCTGATGAATACGTATTTATGGGGATATTCAAAGCAGATACTTGAATATAAATTCTATTATCATGAAGAAAATTTTCATCTCACGACATATTGTCTTCTTAGAAAAAATGTTTACTTTAGGAGAGGACAGTGGGAGCAAAATAGAACTTGAAAGAGTTCAAGAATCCACAAATATAGTTAACCAGGTAGATAGATCCGAGTTTGATCCCATATCTGATATGAGACATACTCTTGATCAGGAAGTAAAGACTCCTGAGAACATGCCAGCTCTATGTGAATCTAGTGGGATCATTCGACCTTCAAGAATGTGCGAATTCATGATTAATAATTAGGTATTACTGATCCAGGATAATGAACCTGGTAGTTGCACCAAAATAAAGTCAAGTGTTGACTTAAAAAAGATAGCAAGAGGTCATGAAACTCGAGATGAACTCGATGTATGTGAACAAGGTTTGGACCTTGGTCAAGCCTCCTGATGGAATAAAATGCATAAATTTTTGTAAATAGTTTACAAGGAAAATGTCGATATGGATGAGAATATCCATATATACAAAGCAAGGCTAGAAGTAAAGGTTAAGTGTTGCCCTTGGTGAAACATTTCTCCTGTAGCCTTATTAAAGTCCATTCGGGTTTTGCTTGCAACAGTTGCATACCGTGACTATAGGTTAAGAAAAGTCACTTGAAGCTGAAATTTTCGATTTGATAAAAAAGTCAAAGTGTTTGATTTTATCAATTTGGAGACGAATTGCGTGTTTACAAGAAGATAGTGGGAGCATTGTCGTATTCCTAATATTATAGAAAACAACATCTTTATGTTTCAATCGTTGAAATAATGGTTGTTAAAGGATTTATTCATGAATGATATGGGAGAAGCAACTTAATCTATAGAGATAGATCTAGAAAATTGCCTAACTCATCTCAATTTATATAGATGAAATCTTGAGAAGATTTCATATGGAGAAACTGGTTTACTCTTAAACGGAATGTTGGAAAGGTTCCAAACGTGAAGCAACAGTTGATTCATAGTAGAAACCTAATACATGATTACTTCAAAAGTAGTAAAGAGTTGCAATATGGATCATGATGTTCATAAATGAACTTGGAGTTCCTGATATTGTTGATCACATGCCATTGTATTATGATAACAATAGAGTTATCGCGAAAGCGAAGGAACTAAGGTCTTATCAATGATCCAAACATGTATTAAGGCGGTATAATCTCATCAGAGAGACATATATCTGTATGTTGTACATGCTTATGTTAGTATATCAGTAATTCCAATCAATGTCATCATTTTGGAAAAGAATGGAATATGTTCAAGTTATAACAAAAGATTAACTCATTATTCATCGTAAGCAACATTTCACAAGGACTGTCTAGGTTACTGTATAACTTACCATTTCTTGCAAGCTGCCTTGAGCCTCAACAACTATAGCTCCTGGCTCTGATTGTAACTGGGATTGACACAGACACTTTTTATGGAGGCAAATAGTATATAACAAAATGAGTGAATATATAGATAATGAGAAATAATCCACAACCAACCTTTCTTTTCTTGTTTGTACTCTTCTTCTTATTTGTTTTGGTAGCCTGGACTATCTGATTCTCTTCTTCAGCACAACAAAGAGAAGTAGCATTGCTGCTATAATCAGCAGCACTTCTGTTAACATTCACACAGTTCTTCAGTGCTTCACCTAATGCACGATAAGCTATACTGTAACTCTCCTCAGATCTTGAACCTTCTTCAGCCAATTCAATAGCACGTTTGCATATATCATTGTACTTCTGCACCCTAGTTTGTGTTCTTTCGGTTCCCTCTATCAACGAATGACTGTTTTTGGCATCTTTCGTCCACCTCTTCATAATATATTGAGATGGGATGCTTGAAAGGCCACACATTTGAAGGACAATCATTGAATGTCTGCAAAGAAAACCTTTATATTCAAACAGAAAGCATGAACAAGAAACCTCTGAATTTGCCTCATTCCATGTAACCATAAAATTCTCTGTCTTTTCGCAGTCATTAACTCTGAAAGTAATATGAGTTCCATTCTCACTTTCCTTCTTAGGATGGCAACCTATCACCCCCAAAACCTCAACTTGAAATTTCTTGAATATTGTGTGTGTAAAAATGCTCGACATTTGTTTTTCCCAAGGAGAAGGCGACTTTAGCGCTGGCTGTTTGTGGTTAGTATCAAAGTCTGCTAACTCTTCCTCTTCAAACCTATTTTTAAGTATCATACCGTATTGTTTCGCAAATTCTTTCAGACTGATTTTCCTGTGAATGTATTTATCAAAGAAAGAGATGACACTTTCATTTCGCTGAGTTGTAGACAATCCAGCCAAAAAAGTATTCCTCATAAAGGTGGGAACCCACTTTTTGCGGTCTACATATAATGAATGAAACCATTCATTGTCTTGCAGTTCAAATCTGCTGACCATCTTCCACCACCTCATGTCAAACTTTTCATCCGTCAATGACTTGAATATGCATTTATTGAATTTTTTCATAAAATTTTTGTGCTGCTTGATTACATGAGCAAGAGTTTCAGGGATTCTTTCCAGTATATGCCAAAGAGAAAAGCAATGACGTGAATACGGGAAAACTTCTTCAATAGCTGATTTCAGAGCTTTGTCTTGATCAGTGATTATGACTTTAGGAGCTTGCCCACCCATTGCTCTGAGCCAAGTCTTCATTAACCAGACAAATGTTGGTCTAGTTTCATCTGCCAACAAGGCACACCCAAGCAACATGGGCTGAAAATGATGGTTCACCCCTACAAATGGAGCAAATGACATCTTCTCATTGCTTTTCATATAACTGGTATCCAATAAAACAACATCATTGAAGCTGATATAGTCTTTCCTGTTTTTGGCATCAACCCAGAACAAGTTTCTCAGAACCTGATCTTCATTCAAATCAACTGCATAAAAGAAACTAGGATACTGTTTTTGGAATCGCATAAGATAATTGAGCATGAATGTTGCATCCCCCTCTTCTAATTCCAAGTACCTACCTTTATCAAATTGATGATCAAATTCATTCTTTATGATGCCTAGATTTTGAAGTCCACCAGATTGTTTATACATCTCAACATACATCTTTCTTGTCCGTTCACTAACCGCGTGCAAAATGTCAATATTATTCTTTTCAGCTAATTTAACATTCTTATGAATTTGGAAATGATACGCTAAGGCAGGTAATAGCTCGTGATTGTGCTCCTTTATAAATTCATGGATATACCAATTTCCATCTCGATTTCTCTTCACATGCATGCTGGCTTTACAATCCGTCTTTCTCACACTTGGACGTCTACTACTACTGCTATCTGATTCTGGTGCGATTCCATATCTTGAACATGCAAATTTAGCGTCAATGAATTCTTTGGTTTTCTTTGAGCGACGACTGTTTTTTATTGAGGTGGTGAACCCCTTCGACTTGGCATACTCTTGATAAAACGAATATGCTGCCTCATGCGATTCAAATTCAACACTATCATGTGGCTCAAAGTTATCCCCTCCATTTCCTGCAAGGGATCTTTTAGGAGAACTAGCTTTCTGGCCATCCCTGTCCTGTGCTTCATCCACAACATCAACCATATTTAAAACAATTGCTTCTTCACCACCTTGCACATTGTCCTTAACATTCACCGTACTATCTACAACATTTCCAAAACCAGTATTTTAACTAGCTCAACGAAAAATAAACTTTTCTCCTGTAAAAGGAAAGAAAATTGCAATGGTGCATGAGATAACTGGCTTAAGGAACACGACTATAGCCGAAACTTCAGCTTCCTCTCTTCTTCTTCTTTTTATTTATTTATTTATTTGTTTGCTTGGACTGTCAAAATCCACTATAATTAAGCAAACAAATTGCTGTAAAGCAATCCCTCCCCCCTCGCTCCCCCTTTTAACTAAATAACCACCCATTTCCCTACATTTTAATTTTGACTCCACATAATAACGGGATGATCATAATTGATTCAAACTACAGAAATAGGGGAAAAAATTTCGTATCCTAGAAAATATTGAAGCATATAAAGTTCACTAAATCCGAAAAAAATAATTGGTGAAATGCTATATTCCATTTACACTAGAAAACATTAGTTAAAAAAAAAAAAAAACAAAATAAATGTATTCGGGCCTGCATGAGCCAAAAAAAGTCCAAAGACGGAAAACCATAGACGGAAAAAAACTAAATTCATGAAAACAAGACTAACCAATTCTTGAAGCTAAATTCATACTATTAGGGCTAACGAATTTCGGGCCGCATCTTCTCGAATATAAATCTTGTGGAGAATTTAATGGAATTTCACATTGAAATTTTCAATTGATTGTGATTTTGCATTTTAAGAGAGAGTTTTGTTTCTGAAGATTGAGAGTTAATTGTTCCAGTGACCATTGAACTTACGGACGTGTATTTGATTGGCCATTGAGGTTTAAAATATCGAATTTTGGTCACTAAACTTAAGTCTATGAATTCGATTTCAGATTTCTTACTAAACTTAGGTTTATGTCTTAAATTGCTCACTAAAGTCTAAAATATCGAGTTTTGACTATTGAACTTTGAAATATGTGGTACATTACGTACTAGCATAACTGTTGAATTTTAAAAAATAACGAGTTTATATTGAGTAATGTATAGTATTTTTCAAAATTCGGTGAGTAATGTATAACGTTTTTCAAAATTCAGTGATAAATGTAAAATATTTTTTAAAGTTCAGTAGTCAAAATTTGACTACCTCAAAGTTTAGTCGTGTGATGGGGCGTCACATGTGCATCCCGTTAGAAGTTTGAGATGAAAGTTATGCCGATAAGTAATGTACGATATTTTTCAAAGTTTAATATCCAAAACTTGACATTTTAAATTTTAGGAAGCAATCGAAGCCACAGATATAAGTTCAATTACCATTGTAACAATTAACTTTGACTTTGGCCCACCAATCAAGCTAATAGCTTTGACTTTGGCTCGCCAATCAATAGCCTGAAATTTAAAACAGAAAAGGGAAATATACTACGGAATTAATTGTCCTATATAAAAAAGATAATTAAGGGGCTGTTTGGGCCCGATTTTTTCACCCAAAAAATTGATTTTTTGACCGTTATTTCACTATTTCAGCCGTCATATTTGACTTCTTCTCTCACAGATGGACCCCACTTTTCTTCTATCGGTCAAAAAATCAATTCTCAAAATCACTCCCAAACAGCCTCTAAATATGGTATTCATGGGATTCTTGTGAACTTCATTGATTATCAATTCTTCTTCTCAACATCAAATATATGGGGCTCACACTGTACACTATCTTCTCTTCTACGTAAAATTTTCGCAGCAATAACGTAAATATTCTTTATTTAAAATTTTCACGAGTTACAATAAATTTCGTCACGTCATGATTTTTGAACCCTTCAAACATGAGGCACAAAATCACTGGGGGCGGTCACGGCTATGCTACCATGATCTTTGCAACTTAACACTCTTAACAAATCATGACCCCAAGAATTTCTCCGTTCATTCCGGCTAACCGGAGCCTTCATGCCTGTTTCGATCGCCGGAAACATACTCCCTGGAACATTCCGGCGAACCTGCCGGCTTTTTATATCTTGTAGATCCATTTCCGGTGGAAATTTCACTAGGCCAAACATCAAAATATACCATCTTGGTTTCGATAACTTTGATCCCGGGACATCAGATTTCGTCGAACTTTTGGATGAACTTCTTTGAATTTCCGAGTCCTCAGATTTCATTACCAAGCTCGTATTACGACGTAGTTTTCTGTAATCTAAAGACCGGCTGTTTCTCATCAACTTCTTCGTTTTCTGCGATCTTGTGTTCTGAGCAGACAATGATTCGCACCTTCTTGTAGTAAAACTGTTTAGGCTATTGTCATCTGTAGACAGAGAATTGTGAATATGATCCTTGATTTTGAAAAGAGGTTGTTCTTTGTAGGGTACGAGTTTACCACAGAAAATGATGTCTTCTGCATGGGACATGTCGGAGCTAACATCACTAAAGAACTCGAAGAAATCCGAGGGTTCGGACGATGATCTTCGATCTTGAATCTTGGGAAAATCCTTCTTTTCGGGTTCGTCAACATTTAGAGAAAAATCACAAAGAGAAAGTGTCTCTTCTGCTTCTTCTGTTGTATCTACTTGATCTTGAAAACTTGCAGAATCACCCATTTTCAGAGAAAGAAAATTGGGGTAGCTATGGACTGAGAATTCTATATATAATTATATGGATTAAGATATTTCTAAGGTTGACTGAAAGGGAAAGAAAAGGAGGGAAATTGAGAAGGCCGGTTCTAATAATTATAGGGCAAGATGATATCAAGAAGTGTGTAGGGTTATCACAAATTATTCTTGTTTCCTTGTGGCTCTTCAGAAGGGTCCAATTGTAATGTTTTTAGTAGTGGGTATACTATTTGATAAATAGTTTTAATTGTGTGGTAATATAAATATAATTTTTGGCTTCTAGAAACTTGCGAGGAGAGAAGTAAGACAACAGGGAAAGGTCTCTATAGAGAAACTCATTCTAGGTTACTTGGTATATGGTCAAGAGTAGATGTTACTTCCTTCTCTTATGGGGCATTAATAGATATGAGACTTGTTGGCCATTTGATAATTTTGATGGTTATCTATTTAGCGTCCAAATTTGAACAATGTACAAATTTATATACATGTAAAAAATATGTGATGCATGTTTGGTCCAAAATTTTAAATATTACGATGTTGAAAATTTTAACTTTTTCGTCTTAATATCATGTTCTAAAAAGTGTAAAGCATGACTACGCGTGGAGTCGAAGTTTCAATCTTTACGAGTTTAAACGAGCCTATGCGAGGTTTAGACGTAAAAAAACGTTTTCTTATTTAATATTATTTTAAATTTTTAATCATTTTAAAATTATTTAATACTTAAAATCCTACATATTAAACATCTAAAATTATAAAATACAATATTTTCTTAATAACTCCTACCATTAGTCAATTATACAATTTTCAAGTTTTTGAAATGCAAAAATTAAAATATATTTTTATAGTTTCAGTTGTTTAGAAATTAGAAAACAAAGCATTCAGGCACGAAACGAGGCGTTTGCCTATACCAGCTTTTTAGAACACTGCTTAAGACAATATGATCGTGAATTCCCTAACTTACAATTGCTTCCCTCTAGGGAGTTGGTCGCATAGGCGCCTCATGCCTTCAAAAGACGGAAACTGATACCTTTTGGCTCGAAACAACCAGCTATCATAAAGTAATCACATTTCTAGAATCACTCCCTTGGCAAGAAATCCCTTAATTTTGAGTGGATGAAGGAGGGTAATAAATTAGTTGGAAAGACGACCCTTGCTTTTAAAAGGGAGTCAATTCAGAGTAGTGCGTTATTTTACATTTTGAATATCATATTACGTCTCATCTTCTTCAATATTACTTCTAACTTTGGCATTTGAGTCCTATCGAGAAATACCTCACCACTTTTATTTATAGGTAGTCGAGTGTTGAAGGTAAGAGGAGTGAACATAATTTTTAAATTCCATTAGAATCAGCATATGATATTACACAACTATTATGTGAACGTAATTGCTCACTAGGAATGGGGTTACATTTTGGCACTTGATTGTGGATTTCTGTCAAATGGAAAGATCATTTCACTAAACGTAAGGAGAAGGCAAAATCTGTTTTAAAGGCTCAAATTCAAGCTTACATGTCAAGTTAATTAGTGTAATTGATAGCGGCCAACGAAAATGATTAACTAACCCACACTCCGTAAAAGGTAGAATTGATTGTCTTTGAGATGTCCATTTCTTGATTTTTGCGTGTATTACTTTGGGAGGTTGAAATTGACATGTAAATTTAAAAATTAATTAATTCTCATGCTCATTTTCGACCATATAATCGCAAAATAAAATATTTTATGCGTAAATTCAAAACTTTTATCTACTTTTTGATCTCTCATTTTTCGAAAAATCAATATTTAAAACATCATTTTTTTCAATAATGACCATCAAACCGGTGCTAATTCGTTTGTCATGAATGTCTTACAAAATAAATATTTACTTGAATTAACGTCTACATATCTTATTGGACAATGAGATCAATTCTAACAAAAACGTATCGGAGCATCAAGTTGTTAGAGTGGTAGAGCACACAAACTATATGTCAAGTAACGTGGAGAAATTTGACGGGAGAATTACTTTTGGCTCGTGGCAAGTGCATGTCAATGTTGTTTGGATTTTGTTTTGATTACACAAGGATTTAAAAAAAAAAAAGGAAAAAAGAAAAAAGAAAAAAGAAATCTCTATTTTCAGCAAATGTGGAGAGCTTGAACACTTCAAGAAAAATGTTCAAAAGGTAATTGCTCGAGTCAATAAATGAAGATATTGATGTTGTCATTAACATTGTGTCTTTTTCTCCATTAGAGAATGACATTCTTTAAAAAGAAATTGTTCATCCGCTTGGCATGTCTTTGGCCAATGACGTTAGTGCTAACGGGTCTGCAATTTTACACATGGATATTGGTTTAGCATTGATTCAAAATTTATGGTGGAATTAACGTTGATGTCTGATGAACTCCCAATAAAGCAAACATGGGGGTTGCGCCATAATTTCAACAAAGTTGTGCCGATTTCAAATTCTTAGAAAGTTTGAGTATGTAAACTATTTATGGTAAATTATGATAATTGTCTGTTTCGAAAATTATGAGCGTAAAAAGAGTTCACCAAAATTTTGCAAGTTGGGTAACCAAGAGGGTGAAAGAAGCTTGATTGCGAAGAAGGCTGTCCCTTAGGCCATCCCCAACTCATGCACCAAATTGATGCAACTTTCACACCAAAATGATGCCATTTTCACATCTTATAAAGTCATTTCCAATCCATTACATGAAATGAATAATATTTATTTTATTTTTCCTATTTTTTAATTCTCAAAAATTATTTTATTTCAGGAATTTTTAATTATAAATTAAATTACTATTAATTACTAAATTAAAATTATATTTAATTTGCTTACATTTATTAATAAATTATACAAATCATTGCACCACAAACAAAAACAAATTACATCTAATACACAATATTAAAAAATTAAATGTATTCAATAATTATTACTTATTACTTGATAACATTTATTATAAATGTTAACAAAAATAATAACCAAATTAAAATAAATATATATAAATTAAATTATTAAATAATAGAATGATAAAAAAAAAAAAAACATAGTTATCATACCGGACCAACCCAGAGAAATCATCGGATTATCGGATCAGTGGTTCAACTGATAGATCATTGCAAGGTCGAATTTTAGTTAATTTCTTTTAATCAAAGAGACAATATATTTAATTATTT